TAGCAGGAAATTTCTCCTTTGCTTTAGGTTGGTTCTTGGCTACATAATCTTAGGAAAACAATAATTCTGGGGATGTTTGAAGGTGAGCCATCCTAAGGAAGAAAAGTTGTAGGAAATACCTACTTCTGTTTTAGTTTTCTTTGCAGCATTGGTATCCTCTCCTTCACTCTCTGAAATCTCCTCTGATCGACTTTGCTTGCTTCCTTTAGGTGCCATTGATTCCTCCACACGACCTTTCTGCAAGGCAAATGGACAGGGGAAGGGACATATTGCAGAGCAAAAAAAAAGTAAATATTTATTCAAAGTATACATGTTAAATTTTCTGTTTAGCTACAGAAAATATAACATAATTCACATGCAAGTAAGGTTAATTGAAACAATTTCCTGTATTGGTCACATAGGCGATTCCATTATCGAACAGATAATGTAGTGGCTGAGAAAGTATCAGACTGCTAAGCACCCAATTTAGGGCACATTAGGACAACTGATGGTGGAGGTTATGTAGGTTAACAAATAAACAATAATTGCCTTAAAGAGGAAGGACCTTCAAACTCTAATAAATGTTTTTGCAAACAGGTGAAAATTCTACCTTGGTAGTTTGTCGTGATTTCTCAGCTTTGCCATCACTGCTGGAAGTACTGACACCACCAGGAGATGCTCGACCCCGGGTTCTGAGCTCCTCTCGGGGCCCCGGAGTCTCCTTCTTTCGACCACTCCGCATTGACATCTTTTGAGAAAACACATAATTATTTATTTCAGGTTTTTACCTCTCCTTCCAATTCTTTCCTGTCGCCTGGCCTGAACTTTTCTGCTCTCTTCTCAGTTTTGATTTTCATTATGTGTAAAGCTATCAAAAATATCTCAGTATCTGGATTCACAATCTCTAGGTAGAATAATTCAATCAATCTCATTGTCTATAATGATTTTGTCTTTACAGATACCATATTTTTGGAGTATAAGACGCACCGAGGTTTTGAAGAGGCAAATCTAAAAAAAAGGTAGGTAGGTAGATAGAAAGATAGAGAGGAAGAGAAAGAGAGAGAAATACAGTAGGTAGGTAGGTAGGGAAAGAGAGAGAGAGAGTAGGTAGGTAGGTAAAGGGATAGAGAGAGAGAGAGAAATAGAGAGAGAGAGAGAGAGAGAAATAGAGAAATACAGTAGGTAGGTAGGAAGAGAGAGAGAGAGAGAGGGTGTAGGTAGGTAGGTAGAGGGATAGAGAGATAGAAATAGAAAGAGAGAGAGAGAAAGAAGTACAGTAGGTAGGGAGGGAGAGAGAGAGAGTAGGTAGGTAGATGTTTCCAGGTGTATTTATCCATGTGTTGGAGAAGGAAATAGGTGACTATCTGCAGCACCTAAGACTTTGTTCTTGCTGGCACAGCACTTGATCAATGTAATTCTCATCAATCAGTTAAAGAGCTTCCTAAAAGAAAAAAAAGTTTTTGCACTCTGCAAATCTCCCCAAAATGGCCCATTTTTCAAGAAAATGGACCTGTTTTTTTAAAAGGCGGTAATAGCCGTGGGGGGGGTGTGGGGGCTTGCAGAGTGCTGCTGAGGCAGCTAGGGGGGGCAAAAACGAGCCAAC